CCTAGACTCCACTAGGACTTTGCATCTTTACCGATGCCCTACCTTACGAATATATGCCCTAACAAGCATATATTAAACTTCTTAGATTCTTTTTCTAAGATTCCTTTCTACTTCACCCTATTGTTAGTGAGTAAGACATTCTACTAATATAAACAAATTAGTGGAAGAATACAATTGTATGCCGCTAAAATCAAACAATCTATCGACCGAAAGATCCGACACTACAACAGTTAGACTCATACGAGAACTGCGAAACAACGCCAAATAAGGCAATGTAAGACTATTTAATTCTGGGAGCATACAACCTAATGTATTTGTTAACTAACTAATTAATATCAATATAGGTTCTAAGCAACAATTAACAAGCAAATCCCTAGGCTATAAGGCATCTAATTTATCTGGCAATTCTAACATGCAATTCCTAAAAGACTTCTTCTAGGATTTCTTCCACTTCTCCCTACTATTTTCCGAGGAAAAACTTATACCCATATCAACCAACTAATGGAAAAATGCGATTGCATGCCTCTAAAAATAAGTAGTCTGTTGATTGAAAGATTCGCCACTACAATGGTTAGACTTATACGAGAGCTGTGAAATAGCGCCAAATTAGGTGATCTAAAACTATTTAATTCTTAGAGCATGCAACCTATTGTATTTTTCAAGTAACTAACTAATGTTAATATAGGCTCTAAGCAGCAAATAACAAGCAATTCTCTAACTTACATACTAACATGCATTTCTAACATTTCATATATCAACAATATCACATTCTTCTTGTATTATTCCTTTTTTATTAAAAAATTTATTAAGATATCCAGATCCTCGGTTTGAGTCTGTTGGAACTTTGTTAGTAAGAAAACAACAATTTGGGACTTGTCCCACATAAGAAGGAGAACAAACCTTGAGATGCTTTATAAGTCTTTATCTAGCTTATTTAACAAGTTGGTTCAAAGTATTTGATAAAACATCTTAAGCAAAATGTGTGGTATTGGACTAGTACTTGGGCTAGTGATTAGAGAATAATTATATATATTAATGGTCAAAGGATTGGACTTGGGCCTTGGGGATCTTGGGATCTTCAGATTAAAATCTGGAAAAACCTATAAATACCACATATGTTCTAGATTTTGAGAGACTAATGACACATCATTCCCATATTCTTAAACCTCGTTTTTCTTAACATGATCATTGAGACATTGCAATTAAATCGAAAGATTCAAGATTAGATATTGAATAGATTGTTGTATCCTCTAGACAACTCCATACCCTGGAAATTTCTGTCTTAGGACACTGCTTTTAGGGCTCAATCTTCTTCAAATTTCGTGATTGTATTATGTATTAATTCTACATTCAAGTATGTTTTCTAAATTGTGATTCTTGTAATACTTCTATTTGACTTCGTTTTTATTACAATTATATATTTATCGTTGACTGTATACTACGGTCATAACAGAGTCTGGAATCATACGAGTGTTCATCTAGTTTGCTCAAACCAGGGCTTTGATTCCAACTTGTTACGTCCTAATTTTCAACCTAAAATTTTCATTTTTATTTATTAATATATCAGAGTATAATTACATTTAGCAGAAACATGTTGCGAATACGCGTACATACCGTCGAACCTTTCCCTTCTCACGAACCAATGAAGTGTCTGAAAAACATTTATAACAACGGGGTAAGCGCTAGACTTAGTGAGTTTCCCAAGCTACCATATACCACAATATATATACATACATACAAATAGGACCCACCCAAACTACATGATGAGCCCCGCCCAACTACCTAATGGGGCCTACCTAACATACATAATGAGCCTCACACAAACTACATGGTGAGCCCCGCCCGACATACATAACCATACATAGAGACTACACATTACGTCCTACTGATACATACACATATAAGCTATACTACCAACTCTATCTTACTAACTCATATGTCCTAACATACATGGATATATGTTGTACTACATGGCATATTGAGATAACTGACGGATATCCCTCTGGTGTAACAGGTGATGCGCCGAATAAGTACTAACCTATAATATTTTATCCTATTAATTTCTATGACGATCTAGTAATGAAACCTAGATCCTTCATTAATCCCAATGAATACCAAGAGTTCTATCAAGTAAGGATCAACCAGACTGGACAGTTGGGAGACATGATCATTTCGACGTACAGTGTTTTTAAAATCCAACGACCAAGCCAATAAGACCATTCTAGACACTTCTCCCGTAAGTAGATCAATCAACATTATAATTGGAATTACTGATAAATCTTATTTATATATCCATTACAACAGCTATGAAAACAAATATAAGCTACACTTAAAATGTAGCTTAACTTATATGGATCATAGCGAAAAATCGGGAATTATACGGGCATAGCTCTGATCCGAAAGCTCTATACCTCAGATGCTCCAGGGCCTTACTAAAGTAGCCGAAAACTAGAAAGTAAAGGAACTAAGAGTACGAGATAGTTCTAGAGAGGTTCTGGAGGAAAAGAGATTTCAGACATGAATGAAAATCGACACCTATATAATGCTAATTTTGGGGTGCACGCCGCGCACGTGGTCAAGTGCACGTCGCGCACTTGGTCAGGGGTGCTGACGAGGCTCCATGCAGAAAGTGACACTTGGCGAAATATGGGTGGAGTGTCGGTGCATGTTGCACATCTGGTCTGTGCGTGTTGCTATGCGTGAAGATTTCTGATTTCTTAAAAATTCCATATTTTCTCTGTACGAGCTCTTTTTTTTACGTTTTTTTATATCTATGTGTAGCTATCGACAATATCTACAACTTTCATTTAGACTTTGTCAGCTAATTTTGATTTAATTTTTAAACTTATATTTTTAACATGTTTAGACTGTTAGAGTTCGTATAAAAGTCATAACTCTCTCATACGATATCCGGTCTCGACTGTCTTTTATATCGATTACATATGGACAAGATTTTCAACTCTCGTTTAGATTGTTTTTCCTAACAATCGACCGATTTCTATTTTGTTTTTTGTGTCGTACACTGTTACGCTGAAACTTTTAAATATCACAACCTCCTCTTATGAAGTCAGATTTGTACGTTTCCTATATACATGTTCTCGGTTTTGCGATTACTATAATTTTCATCAAAACTATTTATCATAAATAACACTCTATCAAAACGTCTATTTACGTAATTAGTCATTTATAGTATAGAGATGAAAATTGAGTGTTACATTTAAAAGCCGCAATATACATAACCTTCACTATATACAACAATTAGCAAACTAAGGGCAACAATAACAAGTAAATATAATATTTTAATTTTATTTTTTAATTTATGAAATAACATTATAAGAAGCTATATAATGTGTTCTAACGATGTATGTCGTGTTTGGTAAAAGTAGCTGTTAGCTGCAAGCGGGTAGCATGTAGCATGTAGCATGTAGCAGGTAGCTGGTAGCGAGAAGCTATAACTTTTATTTGTTATACGAGTGTTTGACAAAAGTAGCTGGAAGCTTTTGAAATATATAAAATTACATAAAAGGACAATTGATTAAAACTAAATAAATATATAAATATAATTTTAAGGGTAATTATGAAAATTGATTTCAAAAGCTCAGTAGCGTTTTATTAAACGCTACATGAAGTAGCTTTTAAATTTGAAGTGTTTTGTTTAAACTAAAAACTAAACGCTCGTATTGTCAAACGAAACTTTTTGTTTAAACTAGAACGTTTTGTCAAAAGCTAAAAGTTAGAAGCTCCCAAACGCTTCCAAAAGCTCCGTACCAAACACGTTTGTAGGCTAATATGAAACGATGTAGGTTAACATGAAGTGTATATATATATATATATATATATATATATATATATATATATATATATATATATATATATATATATATGGCTACAGCCAATAACCTAAATAGGCCGCTATTTTTATATGTATTTCTGTCTTATAATCAATGTGTCGTAATTGTGGAAAAAAATGGATATTAACGTTTAATCCCTGAACTTTGAAAATACAATAGCCCTTGATAAAGTTACTTTATCAGTATTCAATCATGATAAAGATGGAGAGAGTCCATCATTTTCATCCTTCCTAATACTATAGGATGTGGTATAACTTGTGAACAAAAAAAGGTCACAACAAGATAGTGGCCAGACTAAGTAGGTCATTCGATCCAACTATTTTTTTATTTTTATAAAATATTATATAAAAATATAAATTGTGAGCAACCTTAATATTTTAAGTGAACCATCTTAATGTTTTTGGTAAAAACAAATATACATAGATCAAGATTTTTAAAGCTTATCTTTGATTTTCTATTGATTTCACTTAAATAATAAACTATGTGGTTTTACGTTCTAAATTCGCTACTGCAACAACAAACCACTTTGTCATGAGAGAAAAAAAAAGAGAACAAAAAGCAAGAGAAACGGAAAGCCCTGCTATTTCGTCTTCGCCACTTTGCCATGTCATGTAACGTGCATATTGTTCACCATGCTAAATGGACGTCATATAAGATTCTTGACGAGCCACACCCACACCCACTACTAGCTTAGGGGGTGTTTGGCAAAGCTTAAAAATGAAGCTTTTTGATTTATTAAAGGTTTCAAACCGGTATAAGCTAAAAATGATGTTTGAATAAAAATAAATTATACTGATATCATACTGGTAATAAGTTAAAAATCAATAAGGAAAAAACCTCTAACTTATCAACTTATAAGTTGAAAAGTACTTATGATTTTTCATAAACTTTGCCAAACACCCTCTTAATTTACATGTCATGGCTAATACATATGTCATGGCAGGATCACATTAATTTTTATCTTTCCTCTCACTTCTACACTCCAACAAATGAAAATTCACCTCGTGAATTATATCATTTGGTACAATTTATGCTGCATATGGTACAAGTGAAATTCTTACAAATTTAATTATAATATTAGTAAAATGAAGAATATCCTTTTAGTACAAACTTTATTTTTTTTGGAAGTAGATTGTATCTCCACTTCATGCACAATTTCTTCTAGCCGCAAACATTCTCAATAGTCCCAAATATAATACTACTAATCATCATATATCGTAACACTTCCTACACACATTTCTTGTGTCATTCTTATGTTCAATTCTCAAGTTCCATTTCAATTTTCTTGTTATTCACTTGATTCGTATTCTACATGAGATTCTTGCAAAACATCTTGATATGACCTTTGTCGGTTGTCACCATACTCGTAACAAGTGACTTCCAACAAAGTTCTTTTGCCTTTCTTTCGAGTGTTTGTGGAGGGAGACGAATTACCTGTCCTCTTCTTGCCTCCTTTTTCCCCCAAAAAATCAACATTCTTTTTTGGATTTTCTCTCCAATTTTTTCCAAGTTCGATCCAAAGAAAAATTCCTCTATAACATCAACTTTTTCTTGAGTTCGTGATAAGATGGGGTTAGATTAGAATGTGCATAAACTTTTTCAAAAATTTCACATGATTTCTTGATTTTAGTGACAAAAAGAAATTCATCAACTTGATCAATGATAAAGATGGCTAAGATATATTCATATACAACCCCAAAAACACTGTGCATTATTCATTGAGATTCCATAGAAGATCCACTTATTACAAGAAATGAAAAGTCATTGGCAAAAACAAAGGGGTTATGGTGCCACAGGGAGATTATACATTAAAAACAAAACTCAGAGTGAAAAAAACCTAGCTACAAAAACAACATTTCGAGCAAACCCATTAACTTACTTTTCCGTGCTACTACTTCTTTATGTATATATATATATATATCAAAAAAAGCTCCATTTATCTTTATATATGTCTCTCAAAGAAGCTCCATTTGAAGGTGGAATTGGATTACCCTATAGGGACTACTACTGGATATTCAAAATCCAGAGTGTGTACAGTGTATGTTAGTTTGCGATTTTTGAAGATGTGGGAAGTGAGAAAAACCTTAGAAGAATCGCCTCCTGAAATTCCGTGTGGTTGCTTGATATGAGCGCATGAGCAATCCGACACCAATGCCGATTCCGAGACACATTCCGAGGCCAATTCCGACTCCAACTCTTACACCGGCATTGAACCATGTAAGCTGTCCATCTTCATCGTAACACATCTCCTCTGAATAATAGCTTGGCCCTACTTTACCTTCTGATTCATACCCATCGGCTTCTTCCCCTGCTGTATGATGCTGGACAAGAAAACATATCAGTAATCAGATAGCAGATGAGTAATAAGGAAGAAGATAACTGATAACATGCTCAAGTTACCGGTAATTTGCGTTGCCTGAGAACCCCATTGTCCCTCAAAGGTTCCTTATCGACTTCTTCTTCATCCTCCGGAATAGCATGGAGCATCCCATGTCTTGAACCACCGCGTCTCCGGGGACTAACTTGAATAGTTTTGGTCAATATGACTGGTACAGAGGAGCAACATCCTGCAATGTAAACTTCGATCGACGGGGAAGAAGTACCAAACTTTGACAAATTTGCAGCGTAGAAATCCATACTCCAACCTGTTTTTGATCCGTTGTTATTGTGATTGTGATGATGATGAGCATGAGTATTGCCGTTATCTAAACTCCCATTGCTCCAAGTTGGTTCAATCCTCTCCAAAGACCCACACAAGATCATCTCCCTGTCATCTCCTTCGTTTTCAATCACCTCAAATTCAATCGCCCCAGTGACCCTAATATTATCGGTGCTAACATACGTCACTTCCGACGACTCCTTGTCGACGCGGTCCCTTCGTAACGTTACTAAAGCAGTGTTAGCTGACGGAACCCTAAATCCATTAATCTCGAGTGACACGCCGATTTCACGGCGTAGGTTCCGCAGCGTTAAATGTTCCGGCACGGTGTTCACGGCGCACGGCGTGATTCGGACGTAGAACAGCCGAATTTCGAGCCAACCTGACGTCGTTTGATGATGAATATTACCTGAACCATTCACTACCCTGTAATTGAACGGTTTGTATTCTGCTAGCGACAAATTACTCTCCTCTCGATCCATTGAATCCACAAATGGTGATTCCAAAAACAAATTTCATATAACCTCCGAAAACTCAAGTTTTTCCGCTTTCCGGAACAAGAGATTGAGGATTTCGTAGAGGTTTGTGAGAATTTGGTGAGAAGAAAACCAGAAATTAGGGTAATTTGAGGGACGATTGAATTGGGATTTCGAGATGGAGAATGGGAAGCACAGAGATTTTTTGTTTTTGGGCTTAAGGAACTGCTGGATGTACACGCGCCACTCCACGCGGCGGAGATTTCTACGACACGTGTGTGAGATGTGCCATCAAGATGTACAGGTCAACAACGTTAACAAGTTTTGCAATTTACAATTTTGTCCTGATTTTTTTAATGATTTTTTTACTCTCTCAAATTGCAAAAAAAAAAAAAAAAAAAACTATTGTAATATAAGAAGATATAATTGTCAGCATTGGTTTCATTTCAATAACACGCGTTATTTTATGTATAGTACTTTCTGCATTTTATATTACCATGGAGATAGTTAATGTAATTTTCACACCTCCCTTCAAGAGTGTTGCAACCTTCACATGAAAATGCAAGGAGAATGTGGTAACATGAGAAAAACCACTTCGATTTTTAACTTTTCGCCAAAGGAACCTCCCATAAACACATTTTCCCAATGCACAAAGCATGAAACCCATGAATGAAAGCATGAAACCCATGAACAGTAAAACTTCTTCAAGAATTTCATACAATCTACTTGATTTCTTCCATGAACCTCAAAGTATCCATACATTTTTCATACATGGTGAGTTCAGAAAAACCCATGTTGAAAAAGAACCAGAAACGCCTCCTTTTCACCAAGTTACCTCTAATGGCGTTTTCTGTCCTCATGGTCATCTTCATCATCTTCAACCTCTACATAAAAAACCCATTTCAACATTCATCAAATGTCCAAAACTACCCTTCAACAAAGCGATTCAGCCTCCTAATAGGGATCCTAACTCGAGCAGATAAACATGAACACCGCCATTTCCTTCGCCTCATCTATGGAATCCAATCCTCTCCCTTAGCTCAAATAGACCTCAAATTTGTATTCTGCAACCTCACAAAACAAGAACAAAGAGTTCTAATCTCCCTCGAGATCATAAAATTCAATGACATTATCATTCTCAACTGTTCAGAAAACATGAACGATGGGAAAACCTACACATACTTCTCTTCACTTCCAAATATTCTATCTCACCCTTATGATTATGTCATGAAAGCAGATGATGATGTCTATTTTCGTCTTTTACCACTCGCATCATCCCTCCAACCACTTCCAAGATCGGATTTGTACTATGGGTTTGTGATTCCATGCCAAAGTATGGATCCGTTTGTGTCGTATATATATGTCCGGAATGGGGTTTGTTTTATCATGGGATTTAGTGGAATGGATTGCAAATTCGGATATTCCTAGGAATAATACAATTGGCCCTGAGGATAAACTGGTTGGAAAATGGTTAAATCTTGGGAAAAAAGCAAGAAATAGGGTTTCTAATAAGCCGGCTATGTATGATTATCCTGGCATAAATGGCAGGTGTTCACATGAGCTTATTCCTGAAACAATAGCTGTTCATAAGCTCAAAAGATGGGATCAATGGCTTGATGTGATTCGGTATTTTAATGTTACTAAAGATCTTAATACATCGAAGCTTTACAATGGTTTGAACTTTGACTCGGTTTTCAATTTAAAAATGTAAAATTTGTTCCTTTTTTTATTGTTAAATGTTATCGATCATGCTTTTCATATAGATATAGCGGCTTAAAATCAGGATAGTCGACTGTATTTACCCCATTATCTAATTTTTTTTTTTTCCTTTTGATCCGTTGTTGATTGTATGAAATAATTCAGTTTCAATAGTTGACGATGTAATTTCTACATAAAAACACAATGTAGACAAGGAATGTGAATTTCTTTATTATCTTTCTTCATATAAAGCTGGTTGAACAAACGCGCCTTTTGAGTCAGCAATAAACTTGTACAACTCACTGTTTCTGTTTCGATCCGTTTGTGCAACTATCCATCTTATTTGACCTTTTAATTCGTATTTTTCGATTAATAAATGCATGTTTTTAATTTCTACCATTTCTTCTCATCTTTTGACTTTGAAGGGTCAAAAAAGCCGGCTACAATTACGAGGTTGACTAGGGATCTGAGTCGCTTGTTTTGTCCGAACCACTCAGTGAGTCCAGTTATGTTTTTCACTGTGTCGAGTCTTGCCATTGAGAAGAAGATTGGTTTAGTTTTGTCTTCTAAGTATCCGCTGTTTAATTGTTTGAGTAAATTAAATTAAATGCATATAATATAAGAAGATATAGTTGTCAGCATTGGTTTCATTTCAATAACATGCGTTATTTTATGTATAGCAAGGACTCTCAAGGGTACTTTCTACATTTTATATTAACATGGAGGTAGTTAATGTAATTTTCACACTTCCCTTCACGACTGTTGCAACCGTCATGTGACAACCTGAAATTTATCCTGTTACTGTAACCCTTTTTCCGTTAATAAAACTTGTTCTTATGAAATTTTCCGTTGACATTTTGGATTAGGTTAATTAAATTGGGACTTTTATTATGATTTCATGAGTGTCCAAACGAATTAGAAACACGTGAGACTCCCTCGATATCCCTTTGAAAAGCTTTTATTTACGACCAAATCGGGTTACGAACATTTAATCGGGTACGACCATAAGCTTCGTTTAACGTCGGTATCGGGTAGATGTTCACCGGGCCGCAAACTCAAACCCTATATAAGCGTGAGTGGACCTCCATTTGAAGCTTTTCCACCCTCTTAACACCCTCTCTCTCTACTCTCTCTCTACAAGTGATTTTGATCAAAAAACACCTCTTTCAAGCTCCAAACTCGTAAGTGATCTATCATAGCTTGTTGTTTAGCTTATTTTGCATGCAAATCTGTGTTTAAGTCATCCAAAAGTCTCAAAAACATGTGTTTACGGCCAAGGAACACTCCAAAACCGTAAACACCCATAAATGGGGGTTTTGAAGCCCCAAAACCTTTCCAAATCCCTTTTAGTGCTTAGCTATGACTTGAGGACTTGCATGTATGAGCTTAGCATCCCAAAATCATATCATTAGGGGAGTAAACATGAGTTTACGGCCCAAGAACATTCTTGGACCGTAAACACCTCTTCATAGGTCGTAAACACCTTTTAAGGTGTTAAATTGCCCTTTAAACACCTCATATGGCTTGGGTTAATGTCTAGAATCAACCACCATCGAAGTAGGGACCTTAAACATCAAATAAACCAAGACCTTAAGAGATTACGGCCGTAAACCCACCAAGGATTGGTTCTTTGGCCATAAACTCCCTTAAGGAGGTCAAATGGTGCCCTAACTTCCCCCTATGGCTTGGATTAATGCATAGAACCTTGTATTCTTTCATTTGAGACCTTAAATCATGCAAGTTTGGACCAAGCATGAGTTTACAGCCATAAACCCATGTGTTTACGGCAGTAAACTCCCCATGTGTCCTTCAAGAACAGCAAACTCCATTTCCAAGGTCATTTCAAGTCCCGATCACTTCCTAAGCCATTGAATCAACCTTAGAACCTTCCGTTGTGCAATGTAAGATCTTTAAACATCCAAAAACACTCCACCCATGAGTTGAAGGCCGTAAACTCATGGTAATATGGTCATTGGGCTGAAATCTACCCTAAGAGTTTACTCTTGAAGAGTAAACTCCATAACTAGGTCATACACCCCTTAAATGCAACCCGTATCATTCCTAACACTTGAGATAAAGTGTTTTCGCGCCTCGGAGTGTATTATCTTTACTTAATTAGTGGTTCAATGTCTAATTAGATACAATTATGTATCTCCTTATGTTACATAGGATCCTCACGCGTGTTCAAGCCCTAAACTGACACTTAACATTCTACCCGGCACATTCTCGTCTGGTGAGTTCATACCCCTACACCATTTTCCGTGTTTTTCATGTTTTCACAGGAGGAATACAAGCAAAAGTACAAGGAAACTTGTACTCAAAACTTATTATTTTGTATGTTATAGTTACATTTTCAGTATGCTTTTAGCACTAAAAACCGTATTAACCAACCGTTTAAATTGCAGAGTTAATTTTCAAACTAATTGTGAAACTCATTATAAAATGTTATATTTTATGTTTCATAAAGGATTTCATGCCATTTATCAAACTATATTTTCCGTATTATTACTTGTAAATTCGTTATTTTAAGATTGGAGACACGTCCTTAGTAACACTCCACAGAGATACGCGAGTGGAGGACCGCCCCTGTAACCAGAATCTCCTGGAAGGAGAGCGTGACTTGAGTGTATAGATCTATATGGGGCTGACTTCACTTAACATTACAAGTATGGTAGATACTTGTACACTTCATTCCGAATCGATAACCAACCACCAACTTTTAAGGAAAATAAGGGTTTTTCCTGGGATAACTTAACTTTTCATAAACAGGTTGTTTAACAAATGGATAACTAAACTTCTTTTATAAGAAAATATGGGATTTTTCTTGGATAACAACCATTTCATAAAACCAAAGGAAACTTATTATTTTACCAGAAACAAACCGCTTATGAACTCACCAACTTTATGCTGATATTTTTAAAACTGCTTGTATTCTCAGGTCAACGTTAGACAGGTATCCCGCATTCTTTTGGAGAAGACGGATCGTATAGAAGTTTCGTCTTTACTTTTTCTTGTATCGATGTATAAATAAAACATGTATTACTTGCTTTCAAACAAATGTAAATATCTCTATGTAATGTAATGGTTGTGTTTACTATGCTTGCTATGTACATTGGTTGTGATACTTTACATGACGTTCTCCACCCCGGAACATTTCCGCCATCGGTTTCGAGGGTTGACACTGCACATGAAAATGCACGGAGAATGTGGCAACATGAGAAAAACCACTTCTAGTTTTAACTTTTCGCCAAAAGAATCTTCCTTAAACACATTTTTCCGATGCACAAAGCATGAAACCCATGAACAGTAAAACTTCTTCAAGAAATTCATACAATCTACTTGATTTCTTCCATGAACCTCAAAGTATCCATACATTCTTCATACATGGTGAGTTCAGAAAAACCCATGTTGAAAATGAACCAGAAACGCCTCCTTTTCACCAAGTTACCTCTAATGGCGTTTTCTGTCCTCATGGTCATCTTCATCATCTTCAACCTCTACATAAAAAACCCATTTCAACATTCATCAAATGTCCAAAACTACCCTTCAACAAAGCGATTCAGCCTCCTAATAGGGATCCTAACTCGAGCAGATAAACATGAACACTGCCATTTCCTTCGCCGTATCTATGGAATCTAATCCTCTCCCTTAGATCAAATAGACCTCAAATTTGTATTCTGCAACCTCACAAAACAAGAACAAAGAGTTCTAATCTCCCTCGAGATCTTAAAATTCAATGACATTATCATTCTCAACTGTTCAGAAAACATGAACGATGGGAAAACCTACACATACTTCTCTTTACTTCCAAATATTCTATCTCACCCTTATGATTATGTCATGAAAGCAAATGATGATGTCTATTTTTGTCTTTTACCACTCACATCATCCCTCCAACCACTTCCAAGATCGGATTTGTACTATGAGTTTGTGATTCCATGCTAAAGTATGGATCCGTTTGGGTCGTATATGTCTGGATGGGGTTTGTTTTGTCATGGGATTTAGAGGAATGGATTGCGAATTCGAATATTCCTAGGAATGATACAATTGGCCCTGAGGATAAACTGGTTGGAAAATGGTTAAATCTTGGGAAAAAAAGCAAGAAATAGGGTTTCTAATAAGCCTGCTATGTATGATTATCCTGGCATGAATGGCAGGTGTTCACATGAGCTTATTCCTGAAACAATAGCCATTCATAAGCTCAAAAGATGGGATCAATGGCTTGATTTGATTCAGTATTTTAATGTGACTAAAGATCTTAATACATCGAAGCTTTACAATGGTTTGAACTTTGACTCGGTTTTCAATTTAAAAATGTAAAATTTGTTCCTTTTTTTGGTTGTTAAATGTTATCGATCATGCTTTTCATATAGATATGGCGGCTTAAAATCAGGTTAGTCGACTGTATTTATCGATATTCAACAACGGATCAAAAGGAAAAAAAGAAAAATTAGATAATGGGGTAAATACAGTCGACTATCTTGATTTTAAGCCTTCGTACCCTTCGAAACCTTTCTTGGGTCAGAAGAAGGAGTGATGAAACCTTTCTTGGTTCCACTTGAAGAAGAGCCATCAAGGATCCTAGCCTTCATACCCTTTGAGGAGTTCTTCCTCTTCTTCCCTCTACCTTTCCCGATTGCCAAGACAGGGGTGGAGTTTGGAGTAGGAGTAGGAGTGTTAACAACCGACTTCCCTTTAAGATCTGTTTCTGCGGTCTTTAGGAGTGCCTGAAGTTTGCTGAGTGTGACTTCTTCCTTATTCATGTGGTATGTCATGCGGAATTGATCATAACACGAGGGTAAGGAGTGAATAATGATATCTATTGCAAGCTCCGCGGGGAAGTTCACATTAAGCTTCAACAAACAATCCACATACCTTTACATTTTCTGCATATGGCTCGTGACGGATTCTCTGTCCTTCATCCTGGTTGTTATCATGGAGGAGATTATTTCATACCGCTCTTGACGAGCACTCTGATGATATCTTTCCATCATATCTTGGTGCATCTCAAAA